TAAATTAGATTTTTTTTTAAATTTAAGGGGCGCCTCTCTCGAGGAGGAGCGGCTCGTGTGGGATAAGATATACGAGAGGACGAGTGGGACGGGTCCACGCGTGTGGTGTTTTGAATGGAAAACAGGCAGGATGGGTTTTTTTTTTTGGCTCGCTTTTGTTTTGGATTTTTTATTGTAAGGTTAAACTACATTTATAGTCCCTTACATTTTATAATGATTGCATTTTAATCATTAAAGTTATAAAAGTTATATTTTATTCACTAAACTTTTAATCCATTGATGTGTTATGCTCATATGTTATATTAACTATTAAGTTACTTATGACTTGAACCTATTCCATTAATATATTAATTTTCATAAATAAGGTATTGATATATAATGTGAGTTAGCGTTGATAGCATCTGACTGCAATAACTGTAATGAAAAATGAATTAAAATTTTCAGTGGTAACAAATTTTAAGAGTTTAGTAACTAAAATATAAGTGATCTAAAAGTTCATAAACTACTAGGGTTGTTTACCCTAATTTTCAAAATCTATTATAGGGAGTAAACCAGCGTTCCGTTCATGAAGAAGTGTGTGCAATCACTCTGGGTGGGCCGGGCGCTTTATTTTGTCCTTGAAGGCTGGAAGTGGTGGACAAGGAGAGGCTGAAATAAATATATTTACTATATTATTTTCGGCTGATTTTTTTTTGCAATAATACAGCTGGAAAAAATATTCTAATAATACACTTGAAATATTATTTATTCGAATATGATGAATGTTATAGTACACATCAAAGTCACACCCGACCATCTCCCCAAAATTGCATGGAACACCATGCGTCTTCCCCATATTGTTTTTCTGCACTTTTTCCTTTGTTATATATATATATATATATAATAAATTTCTTAATTTATTATTAGAGAAAGACGCATGGTGGTATGGGCGAGGAAAGAGTCGCATGGTGTTCTATGTCATTTTGAGAAGACGCGGATAACCCAGTGCAACTCTGATGTGTACTGTAACATTCACCCCATTCGAATAAATAATCTCTCAGGTGTACTATTTGAATTTTTTTTTCCAAGTGTATTATTGCAAAAAATCACCCATTATTATCTAACTATTAAAAATTAAGTCTTTATATTTTAAAAATTAATAAAACGAATATGCATTGTGTATAACTATGAAATATAAATTTAAAAGGTAATAAATAAAGATGAATTTAAATTAGGTTATTTTAACCATGTACAGACATAGAGAGACTCAAAATAAATTTAAAATATTTTTTTTGAGAAAATGGGATTTGAATGAAATTTTATTGATATTATACATTAATCATAAGGGTTTTGGTTTACATATTATAATGTTACTTTTAGGATTAATATTTTTAAAATGATTAATACAAAAATAAGTGACTAAATAATACATAAAAAAATATTTTTGTGCCTAAAGAATTTTTTGTTAAAAATAGGTGTCTAATATTTTCTCAGTTACACTTTTAGGTGTCTATCGTTATATTTGTTAATATTTTAAATTTTTAATAATAAAAAAATTATTTTTTAGAAAAAAAATAATTTATTTATAAAAAACCCAAACTTTTAATGAAATTATAAAAAAAACTCTAAAAAACTAAAATATCTCATTCCAACCCCATTATCAAAGGTCGATTGTTATTTTCGGTCACCATCGTCGCCGAACACTTGAGTTTTGATCGAAATTGCATGGTGGTGGCAGTGTAGATTATGGACGTCGGGATCGGCCGGAATCAACGAAAACAGTGACGGTGACTTAAATCTGATGAACCTTTGAACGCTTTTCTACGACAAATGGTGGCACTTTACGATGAAAGGCCAACGGGGGTTTGGTCGGGGGTCGACGTCTGTGCCAATAAATATAGCAATGACGCGGGGCTGCGTAGTTTTTTTTTAATAAAAATATATTTTTAATTTTTTTTAAATTATCATAACATGACACGTGTCACTTAACGGTAATCACGGTCCATGCACCTAAAAATCTCCGATGAAAACGGTAGACACCTATTTTTAACGAAAATTTATTTTGGAACTAAAATATTTTTCGAGACAAAATTTAGACACTTTTTTATATTAAGCCTTTTTAAAATTTTATACTTGACATATTTTATTGTTCGATTTATTTAATCAAAATATAAAATTATGGGACAAGATAGAATGCATAATTATATAAAAGTAAATTTCACAAAATTGTTAATGTAATAAGAGTTTTTTTCAAATAATTAATAGTATCAAATTGAGGTTATTGACATGAAAATTTATATAAATTTTATCTTATATCGAATTTGAACAATGGATAAGTTGAGAAAAATGAAAAAAAAATAACACATAGTAATTAAACGTTGATCGTATAGCGTAGATTGTTGACCTGATCAAGATTTAATGATTTAAGGTTTAAGATTTCAGGATGCAGGAGAAATGGAGAATGAAGTGGAGATAACTAATAGTGAGGCGTTGACGATAGGTAAATATGTGACTCACGATGGAGTTGAAATTTTAAGATTAAGATTTTTTTGACTCTTTTTTTAGATTTTAGAGAAATTTACTTTTTTAAAACAATAATAATTTTAAGTGTTTAAAATATATTTTTTAGATTGTAACACCACATACTACATTTTGAATGGTTGATAGATTTTTTAATGCCAAGATCTTTAAGAATAAAGGAGTTAAGTGGAGTTAAGTGGTTGACCAACATCTTTAATATTATTTTAGAGACTGCCAAGATGTCAGAGGAGTGGAGAGAGTCTACGGTGATACCAATATATAAGAATAAAGGAGATTCACAATGTTGTGATAACTACAGAGGTATTAAATTACTCAGACATACCATGAAGCTTTGGGAAAGGGTTATAGAGGCTAGGTTGAGACAGGTTACTAGGGTTTCAGAAAACTAATTTGGCTTTATGCCAGGCAGGTCTACTATGGAGGCGATTCATCTACTTTGACGGCATATGGAGAAATATAGGGAAAAAAATAGAGATCTCCACATGGCGTTCATTGACCTTGAGAAGGCGTATGATAGCGTTCCCCTCGAAACGATATGGAAGACCCTGGAAACGAGACGAATCTCAACTGCTTATATCTGAGCGATTCGTGATATGTACTGTAGATCTACTACATACGTCAGGACTATAGTTGGCGACACCGAGGCTTTTCCGGTGGAAATCGGACTCCACCAGGGGTCGACACTTAGCCCTTACATCTTCGCCTTGATTATGGACGACATCTATTGTGCGACACCAGATGGTGTTCCATGGTGCATGTTTTTCCCTGACGACATTGTCCTAGTTGCTGAAACAAAATCTGAGTTGAATAGTAGACTGGCTACCTAGAAGACTGCTTTGAAAGAAAAAGGTCTAAGGATCAATATTGAAAATACAGAGTATTTATGTTCAAACTTCAGTGGGAACCAAAACGATGAAGATATCGAAGTATGCATAGAAGGACACGTTCTCCCCTTAAAGGATTGTTTCAAGTACTTAGGGTATATGATACATAAAGATGGGGGTGTAGATGATGACGTTACACACCGTATAAAGGCGGGATGGCTAAAGTGGAGGGTTACAATTGGAGTTTTGTGTGACAAGAAGGTGCCTCTAAAACTTAAGGGAAAATTTTATAGAATGACAATTAGACCAGAGATGCTGTATGTATCAGAATGTTGGGCAATCAAGAAGGATCATGTAAGGAGGATGGAAGCCGTAGAAATGAGAATGCTTCGATGGGCATGTGGTAAGACTTTGTGAGACATGACACCAAACTCTACTATTAGGATGTCCTTGGGGGTGGTGCCTTTATTTGAAAAATTGAGGGAGGGGAGGCTACGATGGTTTGGGCATGTCCTTAGGCGACAACCATCAGATGCGGTCAGGAGGGTAGAGTCGATTACAGTCGACGGTGCCAGAAGGAGAGAATGACCAAGGCGGAAGTGGGAAGACTGCTTGAGATCTGATTTGAAGGATTTATCCCTTACCGATGACATGACCTCTAATAGGAAATTATGGAGACTTAAGACCAGGGTAGCAGAGTAGTGCGAGTCACATCTATAGGGTGTGTCATCTCTGTCTTCTTTTAATGCATTTATAGTAATTTTCCATGACTTCTACTTTTTATACGTTTCTGTCATTTGAATTTATGAAGACGTAGAACTAGGATAGCGGAGTAGTGTTACCTTAATTTAGGTTTTATCCCATTGGACTTTATTACTTCTTGTAACTTGCTAACGTTGACTATTGTGTATCATTCTCTTCATGTTTTCTCTTTTTAAGTTTAGTCGGGTCTTACTGTTCTGTCTATATACAGAGATTTTTTACGCAGGGATTTATTTGCAGGGAGTACTTCCCAATACAAACGCGCATATGAATACTGCATGTGAAAACTATTAAACTATGTATTTATTTATTTATTTATACATGCATTGTATTTTATCTTTATTTTAATTTTTGATTGCCGGAGGTCTTCCACGGAAGTTGCTCTCAACCATGTGTTGGGAGCAGCCTACTACCCTACCTCCCCCTTATCCCATTGTATATGAGAATAGGGTTTTGTTTTAATATTAACAGAGGAAACATTGTTCACATATTTTGACAAAAAAACTTTAAGCATTCAGGTGAACAAAAATAAAATTTAGACATTTATTTTTTAATTAAGCTTGAAAAAGAAGATTAAAATATTAGACTATTTCAAAATAAATATACCAAAACACAATATTTTGATTATCATTACACAATTACTTATCGGATGATTAAAAACACAAAATTTAAAAGTCAGGTGAGAAGAAAAAGAAAAAAGAAAATAAATAAATAAATAGCCAAAATAGAATATGGAAAATGTTAATGACTAAATGCATAATTTACCCAAACCAAAATTGAATGACTAAATGCTATACTTTTGCTTCTGTTTTTTACGAGGGATATTTAAAAGATTGAAAACCCGAAAATAAAAAAACACATATGGAAAAGTTCCCCCCCCCCCCCGCCCGCTCAAAGCTGAAAAACAAAGGCAGACACAGATCCAAACCAAAATCTCTGAAGTAGAAGCAGACCAAAATGGCGCAAGAAGCAAGGCTTAAACTGCGAATGCAAAAGGAGATCAAGCTTCTCCTTGACGACCCTCCTCACGGCGCTTCCTTCCCTTTTCTCTCCTCACAATCTGATATCACCGATCTGTCCTCCATCGACGCCCGTCAGTTCATTCTCTCTTAATTTACACCAAAAGTGTTACAAATAGTTTTGTTTTTCTGATTAAATAATCGAAATCCAAAATCCTGATGTTCCTTTTTTTTCCCCAGAAATAGAAGGTCCTGACGAAACTGTATATAGCAAAGGAATCTTCAAGATTAAGATTCAGATACCTGAAAGGTATAGCTAAGATTCAGAATGAATTTATGTTCCTCTTTCACATTTTAGAAGAAGGGATTATTGGTTTGTTTTCTTTTCTTTTTTTCCCTTGAAGGTATCCGCTTCAGCCTCCGATTGTGACCTTTGCGACGCCTATTTATCACCCGAACATCGATAATGGAGGTCGAATTTGCCTTGACATCCTCAATCTTCCACCCAAGGTTAGTTTTGTTCAGTCCCTTGTATATATTTGCTTTGGTCACACCTAGAGCAGTTCATGGTGTCATATAGATGTGGGTTAGACTCATTTATACATTTTTCAAAAAATTATTAGTAATTCTAGAAAAGTTCACACACACACATACGGTGACACCTTCCAAATAAATTAATTTTATCTTCAATGATTGAGTTTAAATTTATTCGACCATAAAACCATGTTTTATTTGAAAAAAGATTTTCTTTTGATAATTTAGTAATTCTCGTAATGATATATGTTAAAATACAAGTCATAGTATGATCTCAATTTCCACAGGTAGCAAAGACCTTTGGATGTAATATCATGCGAGGTCTAGCAAAAATTAGGGTCCATCTCATAACTCTCAAGAGTGCATCATAGAGCCGCATACCCTGAACTGTTCTTAAGTATTTTTTAATGGAGACATTATATCATCTATTTGATCCCAATATTTATATATATATCTAGGTAACACGTCAATTTAGAGAAAAATACTTGCATCATGGTAGCTCTACTTGTTAATTCAAAGTGACAGGATGATAGAGACTATTGTTTTGAACTTTTAATCTCAGTCATCATTTTTTACTTGATAATTATAATTTTAGTTTTATTATGTAAAATTAAATCTGATCATTCTTTACATATAAATAATATTATAAGGTTTTTCGCGTATTATCTTTTTTCAAGTTACTACATATTTGAAAGATCATTAGAAGATCATATCTTCACACTCATGTTCGAGTGTATTTTAAACACGGATGTTGGATATAGGTAAATCAAACAAAAATAAGAGTTGGGAGTAACTTAGGAGGATGCCATAAAGTTCATAATAAAAGACAATGTTTTCCTCGTTGATTTCTCTTCCATTTCACTTCCAAAATGTAAGTTTTATTTCTTCAAGTTAAAAAGGGTCACTTATGTCTATGTAGTAGACATAATTTATTATTTTCGTCCATATCGTTTTGGGTTTTAAGTTGGTCAATTGTATCATTCTATATCCTACCCCTCACTTAAAACCTTAAATTGAGGGTTTTAAGTTAGATATTAAGATTTAGGGTTTAGGCTTAGAGGTTATGGGATTATTGTTTTGGGTTTAGCGTTATCAATTTAGGATTTTAAGTTGTGGGTAGGGTATAAAATGATGCAATTAAACAACTTTGAGGGATAAATTGATGTGAAAATACGATAAGAACGAAAATGATAAATTAGATTTACTACAGAGGCAAAAGTGACCCTTAAAGCCTTTCTTTAAAGATATGTCATGATGAGTATGGTTCTCTTGTAATGAGAAGGGGGCATGGCAACCGTCGTTGAACATTTCAACAGTGCTTACAAGTATAAGGCTATTGCTCAGTGAACCAAATCCTGATGATGGCCTAATGTGTGAAGCGGTAAGTACACTTTCTCTCAAGATGGACTGGGTTTGGTTAATAAATTGTTTTTTCCCCCTCTGCTTTTGATATGTTGATGAATCTGCAGAGTAGGGAATACAAATACAATAGACAAGCTTTTGACTATAAAGCACGATCAATGACTGAGAAATATGCCACGGGTGGAGCTGGAGAAAGCAGTTGTAGCAATCAATGCACTGAAACTAAAGCAGATTCAACGCCGGTATTAGGCTATTAGCAGTTGATTCACTTGAATTTTTATGTTTTCTTTTTACTTGATTCTGTATTCTTCATACTTCTTTTGATTGCAGGTGGAAGTTCAAGGATTGGACCAGGAAGCAAACCATGGTGCTGAGGAGTTTAATACTAGCCATAAAAGATCACATGGCATTAGCCAGAAGTTTTCACTAGAGTCTACCATCTCAAACAAGAAAAAAACTGCCGATCTGAAGGTGCCGAATCATTATTTATTTCTCTCAGTACCGATAAATCCGACGGAAAGTAAGCGAAAATGGGAGAAGGAAAATGATGACTTTGATAACAAGGAGAATGTGGATCCAAATTACTTATCGTCACTCTTCCAACATCAGGCTTCTTCTGGACCATCATTCTCTCAGGTTAACGGCAATCAACAACATGAGCAGGACAAAGAAGGCAATTCAGGAAACAGCAGCACAAAGAGGAGCTCAAAACTTTGTCAAATGCAGAAACAACCATTTGGGTCTAGGGAACCAATGCAAACATGTGAAAACACGGAAGTGTTCGGGACCCAAAACATCTCTGCGAATCAAAAACCAGAGAAGCTCAGTTCTGTAGGTAAGAAGCTTTCACTGGGACTGAAAGGCTTATCACATAGACAACATGTGGTTAACAAAGAGAATGTGATGCCAGTAGAGAACTTGCCACATTCAAATCCCCAAACTCCTGGAAAAAATGGGCTCGGTCGTAAGCCACCTCTAGCTCCTTCGAACCAACAATTGCAACAGGGCTTGGAACCTAACCAGAAGAAGCAGCCTCATCAAGCTGCTAAAAGTATGCAAACTGATGTGGAGGAAGAAGAATCTTCGATATCTGAAAATGTAGTTGTTCTAGATAGTGAAGAAAGCGAGAGGGAAGAGAAGAGTGCCCCATTGAGGACGAGAAGGCCACTAGCAGCACGGAAGCGCCTTGGGAAGTGGAGGTTTTAAGGCTTGAATCAAATTAGTTATACAGTTTCCAATCCATTAGCAATTTCTCTAGGTTTAGGTTTATTTGAATAGACGCTTCCTTGAATCAAACTTTTAATGACTCAGTGGCATATGACATGGTTCCTGGTTGTATGAACCTTAAATCTTAAACTTATCGAATTTTAAAAATTTATAAAAACAACCCAAATCTTTAAAAAAAAATCATTAAAGATTCAATATTTTTTAAACTGATGATCAAAATAAAATAAATTAGAAATAAAAGTGATCACTCGTACAAATTAGAAATAAAACTGATGACTACCAATAACCATGGCGTCATTCATTTGCATCTCCTTATCGCCGCTTTCCAGAACGCTAGCGCTGCTGCCCTCTACCAGCTCTTCTTCTTCTTCCTCCACTTCCACTAGCCGAGGTGGCAGATTCTCCCTAGTCTATACGCTCTCTAACAGCCGTCAACGGACGAGGAGAATGAAACATCATGTTGTTTGTATGGCTCCCGAGGAAGAGAAATTGACTCGCCGCAATCCCCTCGATTTCCCATCGTAAGTCCTTTTTAAACCCTATTAATGGGAGAGTGACTTTCAAGTATTTTGCGGTAGGGGAGATCCCAAATTACTGATGATATTTGTGGTCCGCTTTTGAGAACAAAAACCGTTTTGCAGGCAATTTTCAAGTGATAGGTTTAATTTCTTTTTTGCTGTAATACTCTGTTATCTAATGTTGTTTGATTAATGGGTGCTGGCAATTTGGCTTAGATAATTGGATATTTTTCTTGGTTTATATGGCAGGAGTGGGAGAGGCCTAAACCTGGGCGTAGACCTGATATATTTCCTAAATTTAGCCCCATGAAAACACCATTACTACCACCAATGCCATATGATCCTCCTGAAGAAGACGAAGAAGAGGAAGAAGAGGAGGAGGAACAGGAAGAGGAGGAAGATCCTGAAAAGGAACAAGACCCCGAAATCCACAAAAATATACATGATAACCCGAACCCGATTATCCGAACCAATTTACTCGACTCAATACCCAATATTAACTCAAACATGATAATTAAATTTGATCTGATACCCGACACATATCAGATCCAAAATTTAGCGAAACCGAAATCAACCCGAACTGAAGCCGAAATTAACCCGAACCAAAAACAACCCGAATTGAAATTAACCCAAACCAAATTTAACCTTACTCGAAAGCAACTCGAACATATTAAAATTGATAAATGTTATTAAACGATAAAAGTTATTTTTAATAATAAATAAATTAAAATAAAATTGATAATTTATTAAAAACATTATATTTATAATAAAATAATAGAAAGTTTAAGATGAATATAAAAGTAAGAATCTAATTGTAAGATTAAAAACATAAATAAAGAAAGTTTACTTATCTTACTTGTAATAAAAATATTATATTTATAATAAAAATAATAGAAAACAAGTAAAATAAAGGAAATAATATTAGATTTATAATAAAAAATATATAAAGTTTACTTATGTAACAATTAAAACTTAACAAATAAAGTTATTTATTATTGTTTAAAATTTAATAAAAATATTAAATTTATAATTGGAAATAAAATTTTTAATAAAAAAATTATTTCTTTATCAAATAATTCTCGTTGTAAACTTTTCATAAGAAATTAATATAAAATTTTGATAACAAATTCTAACACGTATTATACGATCGTATTTGTGTCAAATTATTGATTTATCATCTCTAAATGATGTTTTAATTTAAAATATAGAACGATTGAGAATTGAAATTAAACCTAAATGATAAAATTAACAAATAATAAGGCATATTTTTACAAGTATATATCAATTATTCTATATATACTTGATTTTGATTAGATTTATAATCAATTTAATCCGAATTGACTTGATCTAAAGGTTGACCTAAACCGAAAATCAATCGATCCGATATTGACCCGACCATAAATCTAACTGATCCGGTATTAACCCAACCCAAAAATCAATCGATCTGGTATTAACCCGATCCAAAAATCAATCGATATGATATTGATCCGAACCGGAAAACAACTGATCCAATAATCATACAACCCGAAAATTGACCCGACGTGATCCGATTCACCGTACAATCAAACTAGATTCGAACCAGATCCGATTTAAACAAAATTAAACCGAATTTAATCTAGACCCAAAATGACTCGACTCAAACCAGATCCGAATGACTCGTTTGCCACCTCTACTGAAAAACTATCATTATAAGCAGTAGTTTGATTTTTTCTTATGCTCTTCGTATGTTGAGTTGATGAAATGTTGTAATCATCCATGTTTTAGGAGCATCTTCTCTGGATTTATTCAGTCGTATAAGGGTTAGAACTTAATGGATGAAAATGGAATGAAAAGGGAGTTTGATTGTTAATTATCTTGATGTGAGAAACAGTGGGTTTGGATTCACATTTTGAAACTGCTTCTCATGCATTTATGATTTGAATCTTTGATATCCTCTAGAGTTTCGGCTATCTTGAACGTATAGTCGCATTGAAGGGTGTGATTTTATGATAAACATGTACAATGCACATAGCTCTGCACATAAGTATGTAGAAATTTTAGAGGAAATATCACACAATCTCTATCTAGCTTCAGGAAAATGTTACCCTCGTTTCTGTTTTTATAGGACGTGCAGGCTCTTTGTCCCTTGTAGAAGCATAACATTGTTTGTAAGTTTCGACGTGGCAGCAATCGCTTGTGCACACGTTGAAGCAACCTGAATACAACTCTGAAGCACATTTTTGGGGGCATGCTTCCAGCAATTTATTCTCGAGTTTGAGAAGATCACCTTGTTTCGACAAACCCCATGCCTGCCACCGTTTTCATTGTCGACTCAAAATGTAAGAATTTCAGGTAAATGTTCTGTCGACATAGCCTAATACAATAGCCACTTAATACTAGTTAGAAGATGCATGTAGTGACAATTAACGCATTAGCTGAGATCCTAAACGTTCTGTCGCAAAACTTACCCTGTTTAAATCGTCTCTGAACTCGTTTTGACGAAAACTTATTGCCATTCCAAAATCTGATATTTGAGGGTTCGTATATCCGTCAAGTAAGACGTTTCTAGCTTTGGAGTCCGTGCATCCTTCACCTTCGTAACTTTGTTGTTGGCTATTTGTTCCTTCCGGTCCAACAGTTTCCCTTGACACTGTAAATTTGACAAGTGCCAGTAGGTGAAAGAAGCAATGAAGTTTTGATGGAAGGATCAAAAAACAGAAGGGAAGTCTACATGGCTGTCGCTTGCACTAAAAAGACAATCAGAAGATCATGGTGGGATGTTTCAGAACTATAACACAAATTGTTTGGTCACTTGTTGCCAACTTGCCATTGCATCAGTTTAACGGGAAGAGACATAGCTAGGATTGAATCTGGAGATGAGTGGAAAAAATTGTATAAGGGTCTAAGAAATATTTAAACCAAAAAATTGAAGGAACAAAGTTATTTGTAAAACTAAAATTATTATGTGCAGAACTAAAGCGGATTCAGATAATAGATATCCAAGGGTTAATATCCGTATCTACTCAAAATCCGATATAAATGATCACCGAAATATTTAAACCCTTCAAATGGTATATCGAACATCTATTATGTGCAGGTGAAAACATTTGGTTGTTGCCAAATTCCACTTGCCAGCAGTGGTTGGCCTCGTTTTGCTCCAGCTACCAAGTCCCAACAAGTTCATAGTTCCCGGGGACACTGCATGGAAGGTTAGGTATGAACGTCAGATGATACCGAGAGAACTTAAACTCAACGCCCACTCCTTCCAAGTTCCCCATTTTCTGGCTTTCCAAACACACCCATACTACCCCATGGTATATGCTCCTTTCCTTCATCTCTTATTTCAAGTATTTTCCTTATCTACATACATATAATATGTATATAGAGATAGATAGGCCTTACAGTATCTGTTGTTTGTTGCAGTCTCTCGCACCCCTTATGTTCCGATCTCTACTGCGGCTGTTGACATCGTTAATTTCCGAGCCAGCAGCGTCGGTCACAACTTTGCTATATTACAGTGATCATCTGCCTCAAAACATCATATGGGAAAGGCTGGTTCGACATGAAATGTTAGACCAGGAAAATTACTTGTTCCATTTACTCATCAACTTCTTGAGATGTTTTTGCTAGGACTCCTCATGCTGAGAGGCAAGATTTCAAATGACTCATTACCCTTCAATGGATAGCTGTAATTGTTCTTTTTCGTGATCGACTATTTTTATTTTTATTTTTGAATTGGAAGGTAGTTTCAATCCAATGATCTTAGTACAAACAATTCTACAATTCCGATGTTCATATCTCTCTTAAAACAAGCTGTTGATCGAGTATTTTTATTTTTATATTCGAGGAAGAAAGAAATGCATCGATGTGTTTTGCATGTGAATACATTAGGGACGTGCATGGGTCGGGTCGGGTTTTTGGTCCACCCGACCCGACCCGAGAACAAGGAGTCGTCCACCTGAGACTCGAACCGACCAAAACAAGATTTCACCCAACCCGAAATAATAAAAAATATTATTTTTATTCAATTAAAATAGTGACTTAATTGAAAAAAATAATATAGAAAGGGGTATTATTATAATTATTTCTAAATATATAAGATAAAATTATAATTTTTCGGGTATGATCGGGTCGGATATTTTCACCCTAAACTCAAACCCGATCGAACATCATATTTAAAAAACCCGACCCCGATTTTTTTTTTAAAAAATTTCGATATTGTGCATACAGTAAGTTTACAGTTGTGACATATTTAAAAAATTAGGAGGATTTATTTAAAAATATATAAAAGTTAAATTATTAAATTATTTTTAGAAGTTTTAAGCCCATTTAAAAAGTATGTACTTTACCCAAAAAAAAGTATGTAAAATATTCAAAACCAAAAAATTTATTAAAAATAATATATTTTCTAAAATTATAAAAAATTCAAACTAACTATACACATTTAAAAAAATTAAAAAAGGGATTGAAAACCTAAAATGTTAAAAAAAGATAAATATTTTTATTAGATAAAATCTTTTAATAGTTTTAGTGTGTATCTTCTTTTAAACATATTATTAATTAATTTGATCTAGGATAACAATAACCTCTGACATTATTTTTTATTTTACTTTAATTTAATTAAAGTTCATTTTTTTTTATAAAAATTTGTTAAATTATTTTATATGACGTACCAATACATTATTGACTAAAGAATATTTTTTGTAGCCGAACTAACAAATGAACCTAAAATAATTAAAAAGAACAATTAAGTATTTATTTTAATAAAAAAATTAGATGCTTAATAACAAAAAATAACATAATTTGGGGGGTTGATTTTCATTTAAGCCTTTAAAAAATAAATTCAGTTAAACCGTCAATAACGTCCGATTGATTTTCCATGTAACACTGACAATTTGGAATTTTATCCTAAAATGTCACCAAAAAGAAATCCATCATCATAAATAAATGAACCTTAATTATGTGATCCAGCTCGTCAGATTCCCCTAAAAGAAAACACACCCATCCCACCGTCCATCTTCGCCACCCACTCCTCTCATCTAACGATCACCATCCGTCCAATCCACCCTTATCCGCACCGAATAAAAACATTTTTTAGTCCCCTAAACTACCCTCCTAACGTTCCAATGATCGACTGGTCGAGAATCGAGAGTCCCAGTCATTAAAATGGAATCAGTAAGGGTATGATTGTAAAACAGACATGGCTCCCGTGTTTTTAGCTCTCTGCTGGAGAAAAACCTGTAAACGAGTGTTTCTTAAAATAAAATATAGAAAAGGAAAAATTGTCTGAGAAACGGCACTGAAGAAAGCTTTAAGCAAAGCTGCAAAGAGCCTTTTCTCGTCTTCTTTAATGGCAGATCTCTCGTTTTATTGATTTGCATTTTGAGTTTACGGCCTAGTTTTTGTGAGTTAGCTGAGTTGAATCGTTCTGTTGAGTTGAATAAGTGATCGGAAATGCTGGACGGAATCTTAGGCCGTGGTTTTGCCTCCAAATGGTTTTTATTTTCTATTCGAATAAATGCATTTCTTCCTCTTTCATATTCTGGAAAATTAATTGATGAGATTTTTTTTCTTTTTTCTCCTCTTGCAGTAATTCATTGATAAAACTGATAAAGAGTCGGATCGAGGTCATAAGGAGGAAGAAGACTGCGACGCTTAAGTTTTTGAAGAAAGATGTAGCTGATCTGCTTGCTAATGGTCTTGATATTAATGCTTATGGCAGGGTAATTTTCTTTTAAAAGAACAGTTATTTCTATTTTTAATCCTTTCTAAAAAATTCTATGATGATTTACTAGCGGAAGTAAGGTTTCAAGTTTGCATGTGAACTTCTGTGCTGACTTTTTTGAATATTTGAACATCTTAAGCTTTGTTTTGATAAATATTTCCCTTTTTCTGGACGTAAAATCATTAGTAAATGCTTTGTTAACTCTTTGCGAGGTTGAAACAGGTAGAAGGATACATTGCAGAATTGGTCCTTTCATCTTGCTATGATTTTGTGGAGAAATGCTGTGATTTGGTGTCCAAGCATGTTTCACTTCTGCAAAAATTAAGGTATATGAAGCTGTATTGTTTATTCCATTTTGGTAGAATTTATGCTTATATTATTTAAAATGCATGAAGATTAAATTGAAAAGAAGTCTGAATAAGGTTAGCATTCAACAACGTTGCAAAAGCAACAAGAATCTCTGCTCAATCTGGTTTCCTTGTTGATTAAGGAAAGTACAAATAATCATTTCATCTCTCACTCGCATAAACCCCATAAAACTTAAACAAACTATTGGTGATTCTGCTAACTAGATCCCGTGGGGCACTCTTTTCTTGAAGGCTACTTTATATAGTGATACCTTCATTCATTGCACTGAAATGATGGATAAGGTTGTCTACTTTTGTGTTTAATACAATGTTATTACACATATTGTATGTTAGCTAACCTTAAAAAGTATCCTAAGGAGACTCGATAGCGAAATCCAACTATTAATAGAAACTGTAACTTTCAAGACTGGCTGAATGTAAATTCCAAGTGATTTACAGTAAGTGCTTATAAGTTACATCTCTTTTATGGCAACCCCAGAGCTGACTTGTTTGAATGTGTGATTGTTGCATCTTGAATTGTTATAGTGTAACCCCTAGACCGGCCTATGCGTTACGACCAAATCTAGCAGATTATGATAAAATTTTCCAAAACATCTTTCAATAATTTAAATCCATATTATGAATAAACACCTTTTAAAAACATAGTTATTAATAATAAGTTATAATTCGAGTAATATATAAAACTATAAATGTCTGAGTACAACAAAATCTTTCACAAATCAGTATCGATGTAATTCTAACATCACTCGCAAAAGCAATATACGTCGCAAGACAAGTATTTCAAAATAAATAGGCACATGTCACCCATCATAATGGCAAATCAGAAGATAAAAACATTACAACAAAATAATATTGTACGATTGTGTCGATCCTCCAAGTGTCAGGTCTGGGTCGCCTATCAAAAAGTATTTGAAAGAGAAAAGTTTGGCGGAGTGAGCTAGAGAGCTTAGTATGTTCCAGTAGTGCAAAATAAAAACATATAGTTAAGTTTCAAAATCGGTTCATTATTAAAGTTATGAAAATGATAGTCGAGTTGTAGTTTAAAATACAGAACAACCCTCCAACTGTACGCCATATGCAGTTTCCCAAAATTGCATCCATAAAGACTTACCCTAGGCCCGAAGGGCGAGGAAACCAACCTAAAGGAGCACCTTGGGTCCATAAGCTCTTATCCTAACCGAAGCATAGGTGCCCACCTGAGGGGTGTGCCCTCAGGCCCATAAGGACTTATCCAATACACATAGCAGAGGAATCACCCTAAAGGAGTACCATAGGATCCATAAGATCTTACCACTAGGCCCATTGAGCCCATGAGCCCACCCAAGGGTCGCCTTAGGTACATAAAGAATTACTAGTTTAATCGGTGTTGAACTTGCATGAGGAATTACCAGCTTGATCGGAGTTGAACCTACAGAGACTTGTACCAGATCCCAGAGTACCCCGAAGTGAATAGTTTTCAAACAGTAACTAACAATAGCAAGAAAATTAGAGTTCCAGCATATATCAATTCAGTAAAAACAGTAACCAAAGATAATGAATCAGACAACCAGACTTAAAACTTTAGTAAATCATAAATCAAGCTTGAAACAGATAAATCATGCGAAATTAAATCAGATCAGCTAGCCATATTGCAAATCTGGTAAAACAATCATGTGCACATGGTATTTCAAACATGTATTTAAAACAGATATATATATATAGCACACAAGAAACACACATGTAAAAAGAATCAGTCTAGTAGATCTATCGAGCACCAGTTTCACTGCGCACTTCGACTGTACGAGAACCTAAGTCATATCAAACTTAATTAAACAACATAATGATTTAGTCATTAACCCTCAATTTAAATTAGATGCACTTAATTAAATTATTTAAATGAATACTTAAATTACATACGCACATTCGAGTTTAACGGGTCAATTCGGAGTCTTTCGGGTTTGAATTTGGCAAAACAGATTTCAGATTCGGATTCAAGATGTCGAAAAACATAAAAATATTGTTTTTTCAAAAATTTTGACTTTTTGGATCAAAGTCAACGGTCAACGTTAGTAAAAGTTAAAGTCAACAGTTTGGTCATCGGTTCAGGTCAAAGGTCAACAGCTTGACTCGATCTAAGTTGACTTAGTAGAGTCGACGAGTTGACTCAGTCAATAAGATGACTTGACAGAACAACGATTCTGTAACACTCCAACTCGTACCCGATCCGGATACGAGTCCGAGATGTCATATTAACCTTTAAAAATAATATTCTTACAAAATATCAAAACATTTGAACTCATTTTAAGAAAATACCACAATATTCTATTAAATTGTGTTTCGTATAAAATTTTCAATCAAAAACGTATTTATAAACAGTAAAATACGTATGAACAGTACCTGTTACAATACCCTAATATTAAAATTTTCCAAATTCAAAAAGGAGAACCGATTCTCCTGCTACAAGAAATCGATACCTTGCTACAATACTGCTACAATACTGCTACAGTACTTTCGTAAAATACGTATAAATTTATAAAAATCTGAGATTTCATTTGTATAAAATTATCATTTACATATACACATTTAAAACATTATAAAACTTAATCATATGATTTTACAAAACCGATTAGAACATATCGGATTTAAACCTTTATTTACATGCCAATCACTATCTTTATTACAAAATACATACTATACATTTATTTTCTGATCTGATCTTTGGAAAGGAGAAACTGACCTGTCTAGCATAACTTTTGATATTACCTTATCATACCAAAGCATATATTCTTTTCTGTAATATATACATACATGCACATATCATGTAACATAACATCATATAATTCATGGAACATATTTTATATCACCAAAAGCATATACATCACATATATTGTATTTGTTGTTGTCTCTTTATTAGCCCATGGTACACTGGTGAGAACTGAAGGTATATGAGTACATTGAGGTTGTGCACAAATACTGTCACCACAGCTCGTATAAATTTGCACCGTAGTGCCACGTAGAATTTGCACTGAAGTGCCGCGTAGAAATGCACCGTAGTACCGTATAAGATTGTCCATAAGGACCACATATAAATTCCTTAAGAATCATATACATATACCAAGGATCAAGTAGGTGTCTCAAAAGACCTCATACATGTTTCAAAGAATACATATATGTCCCGAAAGACTGCGTAGACCCTCTACTCTTGGCATGCCAACTATACCTCTAGATCTCATGATACATAACATGGACATTATTTTTCATATTTATCACATATCATATCATCACATAGTTCACTTACACGTAGAACATTTCCATATGATTCATATTCATATGTCACATAACTTATGCTTTGTTCTTATGCCTTCTCATAGACATATATTCTTTCTCATGTATTCACATAGGTCTATATCATATAACATATATCATTTCTCATTTGTCCATGTACGTATGTTATATCTTGTTCACATATGTTCGTATATACATCACATAGCTCATCACATAGGCATGTATTCTCATATATTCACATAACTTAGATCGAATATACATATATTTCCATATACATGTCATTCCATTATCCTTATTATTCTTATCATCCCCATTAACCCCTTTTACTTACCATATTCATATAAAATAACACATATATATCACAACACCAAGGAACAAACATGTCATCATGTAATTTCTATAACATATTTCATATTCTTATATAATCTTATAGATTATTTATATTGTTTCATATGACTTATCACACTAACATATACTTGTGCAAATCATGTAACATATATTATAACCTGTTAACACATATAAATCACATAGCATTTTAGAATTTACTTCTTACCATAATAAATTCGTCACTGGCTCATCGCAAGCCAATGTTCGTTCTATAACATAAGCACAAATTAAATTGCACTCACCTTAGCCTTGCTTTGATTCGATCCTAATCATTTGATTATTTCAGAACTTGTTTAGGCTCAATATCTATATAAATATAACATTTCAAAACAACTATCAAAAGCCTAAACCTTAAACTTGATGTTGATAACTTAAGCCGGAATTTTCGTTGAAGCCTTGAAAATCACTGTTCATGCCCGAAAATTCACTATATCAACTTAAATTCTTCATGTTTCATTCCCTTTCATATTCTTAACTCAAATATACATACTTAAACTAGTTTATATCCATTTATTTCATCTTAAACCTCAAAATTCTATTCTCCATATAGAAATCAATAATCATACCAAATTTTTCATGTTATCCAAACTTAATTCTAACACTTCTAACTTCTTATTCTCATAGATGACAAGTCAAATTCATTCTCCAAATTCATTTAAACCTTATTTAAAATTTATCTTAAAAACTCATTTTCTTTAATCTTTCATAACTCCTTTATCTTTTGATTTTAAGTTTTTCTTAAGCTTAGTTATCATCTAATGATCAAAACCCAACTTTAAAATTCAGCTAATAATCAAAAATTAAGAAACTCACCTTATACTTCAAGCCTCATGTATGAAGAAGGAAGAGGAGAAGATAACTCTGGAGAATTCTCTCATTTTCCACGTATTATCTCTCTAAATAGGGAGATGAAAATATCTTTCAAGCTAATTTACCATACTACCCTTTTAATTATTTCATATTTACCACTTAATCCAATACTGAAATATTCTCATTTAAATCACTAAATTCTGAAATTTTACAATTTAGTCACTAACTCGGTATTGAGGATGTTACAGACTACGCGCGGTAGTGGCGCGTGCGGCGAGTAACGGATATGACAACGAATTCACCGAAAAGCAACCAAACATAATAATCAACCCAAAACAACTCAGATTACAGCCCAAAACATGACGAAAATTTAATAAAAGCAACCGGATCTTACCCCGAAGGTGAATGGAGAAAACGACGACAAGAGGGGTCGGTACCGGTCGGGTTTTGGTCAGAACAGAGCAGTGAATTCGATGGTGGTGGCGGCGAGACAAGCGGAGTCTAAAAATGGCACGAAAACATGAAAAACAACGGCGGGCTTGGGTTTCTTCGACGAAGCTTCCATGCGATCTCCACGATGAATGGCGGGGCCATCCGGAGCGAGGGCAATCGGGTTTTGTTCGGTTTGAGATGACGAGTCGAACGGTGATGGTGACGCATCCTACGGTTGTCTGTGGCAATAGAAAACGCAAAGAGGGACAAATGACGGTTTTTGTTTTTCGATGAGCAAACAAACACCGATTCACGGTGAACAACGACGACTTCTGACAAATTGATTGAGGGGTTTTGATCACGGCTGAACAGCGATCAAGATGGAGGCAACGATGCACTACACGACTATCAGAAATGGCAAAAATTGACATTGAAAGGTAACGCTGGTGGAAGCTTTAGAAATTGGGGATTTAGGTTGGGAAAGCTCGATTCAAATCGGGGGGGGGGGAATTGCTTTTGGAAATTTAAAATATCGACTAACAAGTATAATAATTATATTTATTAAAATTATAATAAATAGTGGCCTAAGCTAAGTGGTAGAAGCATGGTTGGCTATACCCTAGATCACGGACTCAAGGACTTCTAGCCTCACCTTATCCCAAATATTTTTATTTTCTTTGCTAACAGGTAAATGGAAAATTCAGGGATAAGTCCCTGAACTTCCCAAACATTTGAGATTAACACATAATTTTCAAAACTGTCCATTTTGGTCCCTTAATTAAATTAAATAAATTAAATATATTTTAAATTAAAATTTGGGGAGTGACAGATAACTTTCATTGTAGGCTTTTCTACAGGCATATATCATCAGAAATATCAGGATAAAGGAGGGACTGTAAGTTATGAAAATGAGTGATCCTTAAATTGTCAAATCTCTTCTGGGTTGTGCCATCTCTTTTGCAATTTGTTTGCAATAACATTAAACTTTTGTATGCTTATGTGAGCCATGTTCTGCTGCAACCTTTAATAGTATCCATATAGTACACGTTACATATACTTTTAACATGCGGTTGATGTAGATGGTAATTACAGAAGGAATGATTAATGAAAAATTTTGTTGTCGTTATTCTTTCTGGATCACTTCCTCAATTTCCCTCTTGTTTTAATCGCATGAATAGGCTATTAGCAACACATTTATATGTTTCTAATGACAAGAAAAACGTTGCTTATTTTCTTCAATCATTGCACAGAGATTGCCCTGAAGATTGCCGGGAAGCTGTCTCATCTCTAATGTTTGCAGCTGCAAGATTCTCTAATTTGCCAGAGTTGCGTGATCTCAGGCAAATATTTCATGAAAGATATGGAAATTCCCTGGAATTATTTGTCAACAAACAGGTAATTTCTGTTGATCTGCTCCAAAAAGAGATTAATTTATGGTTTTGTCATTGCTTTTCTTTGACCAACGTTATAAAATTTGATGATAGCTTGTCGAGAATTCTGCTTCAAATTCTTTCACAATGGAGATGAAAGTCAAGGTAATGAATGATATAGCATCCGAGTTTTCCATAAAATGGGACTCTGAAGCTTTTAAGCAAAGAATGTCTAAACCTGCTGTGATTCCAAAGGTATGCTGCTTCTGGTATTTTATCTTTACATTTTAGGTATTCTCATTGAGCTTATCCATACGGTGTCCTCACAGTTGAACTCTTGATTGCCGTCTTTGTTATGCAGGACCAACCTAAAAGTCATGGCTCTTTCCATGCCAGAGGTCATAATCATAAATCAAACGATGGAAGGAGTCAACTAGAGGAAAATTTTGAAGTTTCATCTAAAGATAACCTCATAGCAGGTAAAGATGGGCACAGATTGGGCAACTCTAAGGAGGATAATGCCTCAAAAAGGGGTGAGATCAGCCTTCCGCCTAAACAGGAATTAATTGTTGATGGGTACCATCCACATCATGGTAGGGAGCAAGCTACTGCAAGGAAGGAGACTGGAGACATTCCGTTATGGCTAAATCAAGAAGTACCTGCCAGTAAGCTTGACTATTGGAATGGGAAGGATGATGTTGCCTTGAAAACAAGATTAAGCAGTTCCTCGCATGGGAAAAGAATGAAAAGGGCTGATGATGGAGCCAAACTACAAGATGGTAGGCAGAATGGTACACCTAGAAGAGATAATCAAGATGTTCTACCCGAGAGAAAGCCAGAGAAAAGTCCTAGTTATGCAGATCCTAGGTCAAAGAGTCGTGATAAAGATCAGTCCGCTGCTAATAACTATGGTCACCAGTACAGTTTTCCAAACTCAACGAGAAAAACTCACGAGGAAGATGAACACAAGTGGAAGTCCCACTTTAATGGTGGCATCCCCCCTCCTTATGTTAAATCCAGTACAAAACCGAAGGATCGCAAACATGATGATGCTGATGTAGGATCATCACTTGCTGCTTCTGATGACAGGGCATATGCGGTTAATAGTGCTGATAAATATCAAGGAGGGTTATATCATCCTGATAAAGAGGGGCAGATAATGCCACCTGCTATTTTGAATGGTCGGGATCGTGATAAAGATTATTACTACAATCATGATGGAAGTGATGCTCCCATACCAAGACGAAGATCATCTCGAAGGCGACATAAATCATCTTCTGATCATACCGAACTCAATTATGCCAAATATGTTGAACCTGCAAGGAGTAGAAGAACAAGAAGCACGAGAAAGGAGGACTCAAGACGAGGTCTGCAAATTTTATTTGATGACGAGCAGCATAAAGATGACGACGAGGAAAGGATAATTGACAAACTGTTGATACATTATAGTAAAAAGCCACCATCCGGTGCAGAGGGAATGATGAGAAGAAAGTCCAAAAGCCGTCATTCACATCGTAGGGGAAGTGATGTGGGTGATAGTGAAGCTCCTCAGAAATCAAGCAGGGATAGATCTGATGTTACGTCCGAGACCGTTTCCCGTCCAACCCGATCAATATCTCTCCCTCTTGTACTAACCGCCGAATCGGAAGGGACCAAGGTATGTGCTCGTGCTGCCTCCTTTCAGCCAGATAGGTCGAATCACGTTCATCCGAAGTTACCAGATTATGACGATTTGGCAGCTCACTTCGCGGCAATGAAAGGGAGATAGAACTTTAAACCATAATGAATCATCCTTTTTTATCTAATCGTTTTGATTGCATTGCATCAATCTTAAAAATTACATTATTTGCTTAGCTCGGTGCTGTATTAAGTACCCTGCATTGATATTGCCTAAAGCATTTATGTTTTTAAACACTTGCTGCGTGTTCCGATGACCGGAATATGGATTTCACAATTCCCTTAATTACAAGAATCGAGATGGAAAATTACAGTAGATTACTTGGGGAAAAAAAGAAAAACATTATAATTTGAATTAATCCAAAGATGGTGTAAAAGATCAAAAAGTTAAAAAAAAATTAACTTTTAGGAGTAGATTTATGATTTTTTTAGTAGTCCGATTTCATCTTCATGGTCAAGATGCTAAAAAGATTTGATAATTGGTGTTTTAGGTTTGTTGTACCGACCGTCGCCATCCGACAAAATGACCCAATGTTGGTTTTTATAATTATTTGATGTTAGGGTTTGAACATGACAGGGAAAGATAAAATATATTTTGACACTGATGAGTCATAGCACCACATGTTGTGTTTTATTTAGTTTCGTTTAAAAATATATTTAATGTTTTAATTTAAACTTGAGATCTTTAGAAAGAATAACATATTCTTTAGAAAGAATAATTATCCAGCTCAGATGGTAGAGCACAAGGTTCTTAACCTTAAGGTCGTGAGATCGAGTCCCACGGAGGGCATTTTATAATTCGGAGGTTTTCTACTGAAATTGCTCTTAACTTAGTGTTAGAGGCAGCCTACTATCTTACCTCCCCTTACCCCATTAATGGGAACAATGGACAACCATTTATTTGATAAATTAATTATACAATATACTTAAACGTTTCTGAATTTAACTATAACCCATCTATTATTGATATTATAATTTTCCGACTAAATACATCTTTGAATCTCAAAGATAAAAATCAAATAGCAACCTAGGCTCAATACTACACGTCGAGTCTCAATTTGTTTTATATAAAAGTAGTAATTATCCAATGAGATGAGATATTAAATTATTTAAAAAATATCATAATTTTAAATTTTAATATTATAAACAAAATAAACTGAATTGAAAGAATTATTTCATAATATAAAAAATCTTGATTTTCATTTAAAATATAAATTTAACTTAATTTTAATTTTTTAAATATAATTAAGATCTAGTGTTACTAAACACCAAAGATTTGAAAGGTCTTTTATATTTATAGGAAGCGGTTGCCTTACTACATTATTCCAATTTCCAAGGCAACATCACCTCACATGCCCAACAGTATGCCCATTGGGTTATTTTATGATCTAATCTAACCACATTTCAAAAGCAGATTCCCTCAAACAAAGAAAAAATTAAACACCCCATCCTAGGTGAGGGCCAAATGCCTCATCTAGATAAAGTATATTAGTGTAGAAGATTGAATCTGATTTATAAATATGAAAAGAGAAAATTGATGTGTAAAATTAAAAAAAAACTCATTCGCTAATTTTTAATAGTTGGTAATCAAAATAAGAAAAATAAAATTAATGAATATTTATTTTAAAAAAAAATCAACAATCAAGTTTAAAAACAATAATAATTTGATAAGTAATTATACCATAAAAGATGGCACACCACCTTAGTGAATCTAATGGTTTTGCCTAGTTATAAAGTTCGAGTCTTTACACAGTATCCTAAGAGTGACAACATTTGAGTTTGTTTACCAATCTTGTCCTATATAACCAACCCCTAATCCCCTCTTCAAGTCTGCCCCTTCAATTTCCTTTTTGCTAAATCCTCTCTCTTTCTTTTTGTCAAAAAGAAGGAAAAAAATGGCCTCCAACGGGAACATTACAGTAAGCACCTCCCCCAAAGGCGGCAACAGCGCCTCTGAAACAGCCAATTCCGGCAAAGGAGCACAATGTTTGTGCTCTCCGACCACCCATCAAGGCTCCTTTCGATGCAGATTTCACCGGACATCGTCGAAGATGAAGCGATCCATATCCATGCCTGCCAATCATGCTTCTTTTTCTCCCAAGTCTGTCGACTCTACGTAAACCCCAGAATTAAAACATTAAAAGCAGATGCCAATGCCATGTTATATATATAGGTGTGATGGGGTTTTTGTATTTGGTTGGGATGTGATTATAAATCGAACAACTCCATCAGCAAGAGCTTTGCTTCTCTTGAATTTGCCTCGTCTGGCAAACCGCTCTCTGTTTCAGGCTACTGCAATTATTGTACTACATTCGTTACAACTTAAAGATCGGTGAATAACATATTAAATCGTTGTTATAATTAAAAAATATGTTTAATTTGATATGATATAGTATTATTTTTATGTTCTAAAATTCATATATTTTATTATTTAATTTTATATTGAGAAATCTTATCAATTTAATATTTTCTTTTATCTTAAATTATTTGTTCTTTTCTTTTTTTTATATATATAATAAAAATTTAATAATAAGTTGTTGATATTTTATGTGAACATAAATATCCGATTATTGTTTTGATATGATGTGTTCACTTACTTATTATTAAAAAAATTAGAATGAATCAATAATCGATTGGTCTAGTGTAATGAGACACTAGATTCCTAAAGTAAAGTCGAGGGTTCAAACTCTTGAGTTTATGAAGGAGCAAACTGTGTAGGGAGGGTCACCCTTACGTTTGCAGTATCCAATCTAGACAATAGATCGAAACCACATCGGCAATCTTCAGCCATCTCATCATGTCCTTAATAATTTAATGATTCGGTGGTATAATTGAAATGAAAATCAAAGTTTTATGTTATAATTGATAAAATTGAAAGGTTAGTGGTGTAAACTATACAATGACTAAATTTTGGTGGTATCTGATGTAGTTTACCCTAAAATAAAATACAAATTTGACAAACATGTAAGGTAAAACGACAACGTAGTACACGCCCACTTCTTACTTTTGTCCATATCTAATAAAACACCACCGGCAAAACCGACGACGACGGGACAGAGGCGAAAATGTCGAAACAGGATTTACGAGAATCGTCCGTACCCTACACCCGACTCCCTCCAAATCCTAACCACCAAAACGTTATCGTTCTACCCGTCTATTACCACCGCCCTTACGACAATTTCCGTTGTCTCCGCCGTTGCCTCGCGATCGCCTCCGTTGTCCTCCTCTTCTCCGCCGCTGCGTTCTTCCTTTACCCTTCGGATCCAACTCTCGAACTATCCCGTCTCAAACTCAACCACGTCGGGGTCCACTCGTCGCCTAAACTCACCCTTGATCTATCCTTTTCGTTGACCATCAGGGTTCGTAATAGAGATTTCTTTTCCTTGGTCTACGATAAGCTTATCGTTTCGGTTGGGTATAGAGGGAGAGAACTCGGAGTGGTGAGCTCGGCAGGAGGGCTCGTGAGAGCAAGAGGGAGCTCGTACGTGAATGCCACGCTCGATTTGGATGGGCTTGAGGTTGTTCATGATGTGATTTATTTACTTTCCGATTGGGTTAAAGGGGTTATTCCCTTTGATACGAATACTAAAGTTGATGGAGATCTTGGCCTTTTTCTCTTTAAAATTCCCCTCAAGGTGAGCCCTTTAATTATCGTTTCCTCGAATTTGATGGTTTATTTGGTTTGAAGAGTATAATTTTATAATTTAAACATTTCCCCATTTTTAGGGTCTGGGTTTTATTCTGCTTTGGCTACTGAGTTTAGTTAATGTTGCACACCGCTATTTAAAAGAACCCCGGATAAATCCCAAAACGATTTGAATGGATTTATGCTGTTTAGAACTTGTTAAAGCTGTCTCTATATCTCTAGAAAAGAGCAGTAATTACTAGTTACAAGAAGCTGAAACCTGGATGAAACCATCCAGAGAGAAATTATTTCCCTAGTGAAAATAGTTTGTCAGCAAAGATTAGAAGAATCGGATGGTTGTTGGACTTGTTAGTGCTCTGTGGCTGAAGGTATAAGAATGGTTACGGAGTCTATAGAATTTAGGCCGTATAGATTAGCGCTTGTTTGTGACTTTTTGCTTAAAAGAATGAAGAGATCTCTGAACCTCTGGTACTTGGTTGAGTTTAAGCATAAATGTATAAAGGCGTTTATGTTTTAATGAACAACAGAATATGCAGAAATCCTTTTGAAGTAAAAAAATTTATCCTTTCTTTTTTGAGGAGGCAGTGGCTTTGTAGGTGGATTGTTGTGACGGCTTTTTTCTGTTAAGCTATGTAAGCTGGTGTATGAAGGTCCAGAAATTATTGAAATGTGGAACTAAGTTCAATAATGTAATGACCTAATGCTATAATTAGTTGAAATTTGGGTCCGATGAAATCACGAAGCAAGCCTATTATTTAGCCCAAATTGCAAGGATATGATAAACAAGTTGGTTGATAGATTGACCAGAAATAATGGTAAGGATTAGTGGTTCCTTGCTTCCGATTCCTTTTTATTATTGGATTCTATTCTATGATTCATTAGCCTCAGTCTATAGGTACATTATGTTTATAATAGCACAATCATGCCCAGTGGAACTTTTAAGCAGTCTTATTGGAATTCTTTTCCTAAGTATTATGAATATAACTTTAGTATGCATTTAATATTTAGTTGAAAATAAAAAGTTTTTAAGCACCAAAAAATGTCTGTTAGTAAGTAGTGAATGGAGATGGTCCAGACCCCTCCCCCTTGTCTTATTTCTGTTCTGAGGATTGGTTTTTGGTAGCCTTGTTCTCTGTAGTTAATATTTTCTTCTTTTCAGGTGTTCTTCACTCCGAGACTTTTTGTAGTTGTTTTAAGTAGTCCACACCGAATGAGAATGCTCGGTGCTTCAACCATCTTTAATTTTGCTGTCTATGATGTTTCAGGGAAAAGTATCATGTGAGGTGTATGTGAATACAAGTAACCAGACAATTGTTCGTCAGCACTGCTATGCTAAGGTGATGAATCAACTCGAAGGATACAATGCTAAGACCAGTTTTGCTTCCTTGCCATCTATACGAAAAGTCTTTCTTCAATACCCTATTGCCCATTTTTTAATGAAAGATCCATTCACTGATAATTGTATAATGTTTTGTGATTTGCAGTAATTTGGTGGACAGTGCACCAATATATACCATTTGGGCCAGTTGATGTACTAGGAGTGGGAAACAGACTCGGATGCTGCTGTGATTTGGTTCTTCATTGGTTATACTGTACATGTGAATGTAAATGATCATAGTTCGGTTATCGAACAAGGTTCTGTACCCCGAAAATACTTTTTTCCTTGCTCAGCAAGTGTGTATAACTAGGAATTGTAAACCCATGATTGGATGATATATTCAACTCAGTTTTTTCTGTAGCTTACCTTCTGGTTCTATAATATTGAGATGCAATTGAATTTTTCTGAGATTGAATTGAGATTCCAGCTTTGCACCGTTAGACTATTCCACTGTTCTGCAGTTAGTCTCCTTCAAGCTGAATAAGGGTAATATTTGTTAGATGAAATCTGAAAGATAATAGATTTTTACAGTTTTCCTTAGTTCCTTTTGTTCACGCAGTATGGGGGAGATGATAATATTCTGCTGGGGGAGATGATAATATCAGAATTTGAACTCCGATCATTAAGGTGTTGGCGGAGAAGGGTTTGAATTTGGGCAAGAAACATGATTCATAATAAAAGAAAAGAAAGAAAGAAAATCTACGAAGAGGAAGCCATGTGGAATAAAATAGTTCAAACCATTGGTTCCATTATATACTACAAGGCACACAGGTTCTAGGAATAATAGTGCAGTCATTTCTTGCTGATGACTCGACCACCCCACACGTATTCCGCATGGTGATACCTACATCGAAATGACCCCGGGTGTTTTGTAGGTGAACACAGACACTTCATCGAACCAGTGGATCCACCAGTCTCTCTACCCCCTCCGGGTGCTCGATGGTTGGCAGCAGCCACCATCGATGCCTGCAAAACGAACCATCTGCGTTGCACCAGTTTGCCACCACAAGGAACATTTGCATAACACATTAGTTTCCCCTTCCACTCTGGGTATTATTATGTATGAACAGAGGTTGTAAAGCAAAGCATGAGTGTGCCTATGAGACTACATATAAAAGGAAGCAAAAGCAAAAGGAACAAGGCATAAAGCAGTGTTTTTTTGATAGATTCCATTAAAGCTTTAGCTTTACTAGATGGTTATGAGAGAGTGGTCCAAAAGCATATGGCCACTTTGAAAAACATGGCCTAATAAAACGATTCTTGCCCACCAATCACCATGATTCGCCGGTTCAAAATCAGTGCTGCCACGTCCTCTTGTGGCCATGGAGTATGTTGCTTGTGTTAGACGCTGTTTTATGGCCTTAACTTGCATAAAGAAAAGAGTGGAAAATGCAGAATGAAGATATGACTTTTTGGAAACTTCCTAATCTGATCCTCGTCAGAAAGAACATTAGTCTTGCTGGATTTCCCCCCAAATATGGCTCTATATTTATACAGCTTCCAGTACTTCGTGTTTGGGTCCTACTAGGAGGGAAAAATACAGTAGTAGGTTGGTTTTTGACTAAGAATTGGATTCGAACTGACCACACAATGATAAGAAAATTAATAAATTTTTATTAGGAACCGAAATAAATTATCAAAATTTTAAAGTATAATTAAAAGTTAACTTTTAAATTTTTTAGATAAATTAAAAAAAAAGTAAATTGCTCATTTCACTAATGGACTAAAATGGTTTAACTTTATTATTTAACCAAGAGGGCAAGTCTCTTGTCCCTAGATTCACCATTATATTTGAACATTGCACTAAAGTTATGAGATAAAATTCTGATCATAAATAATAGTTTATATTAATATTTTAAATTTATAAGTTCATGCACCAATTCATGACGAATGATAATTCACAAATCAATAAAAACTTGCATCAATTCAATTTAAAAATATATACATACAAGGACTCAGAATGCAATTTTACCTAAAGCCGGCGAAAGGAGGTGACAACAAACGGAAATTGAGAGGGCACGGGGTATGAGGCTAGGCTTCAAACACACGTTTTCGAAACATCAAAGGCAAGCCAGCCAGCCTTGGAAGCCGCCAACCGAGTCAATGAACCCCCCGATGACCACCACGCGTTCGTTAAAATGCCAATACCAATTCCCACTTCCAGGAAATTGCCTACCCACTCCCCCAATATAAATACCATCAAACCCCCCCTCAAAATTTCTCCAAAATCTCTCTCGCAAGCACACCCAGAATCTCTTCAGCTGTTAATCCAGAGGGAAAATAAAGCCCAGAAAACCCTTTTGTTTTCGATAACTTTATTGGGATTAAATTCTTTTGTTATTTGAAGATGAGTTCAATGAAGTTTCATGTTGTTCCAGCGGCCATTGGGTTCGTGTTATCAGCGCTTGTGCAGCCGAGTTACGGGCAAGCCACGGGTTCTTCGCCGGCACCTGCTCCGTCCAGTGATGGTACTGCGATTGATCATGGGATTGCTTACTTTCTCCTTTTACTTGCTCTGGCCATTACATACCTCGTCCATTGATTTTGTCATGTATTTTTTCTCCATGGATTCAGCCAGGGAAATTTCGGCAGTCTTGTATGTTATTTCTATGTATTGTAAATGATTTCCTATACTCATTACTATACAGATAGAGTTAAATTATACGTTGTGACAGTGTACACAAATGATCATTTTTTTCAATAAGCAGATGACCAAATTTACTGCAATAAAAATGATCAAAATGCTAAGATTGGGTTTTGTTTCATCCGATTTTGATTCGAGTATTATATGTTTCAATCCGATATTATTTCGATTCAAGTTTAAGAAAAGTTCACTCAATAAAAAATTTAACATGGTTTTTAAGGTAAAACTCGCACTTGACTTGGCTCGACTTGACACAATATATAATTGAAAAATATAAATAAAGGTATTGTTGTAATTATTCCTAATATTTATTAGATAATTATATTATTATCTTGAGTTGTGTTGAATCAAATATTTTTAACTTAAAACGACCCTATTTAATCTCATCTTTCAAAAAAATTGACATGAAATCAAAATTTTAATAAAAAAAATTAACCCTATATGATCGAATTGGAACTTATCAAATTCAAATTAAATGCTCGTATCTAAGTATTAATATAATTTTTTGATATAAATTATAATTTCAAATATTATTTTTAAAAAGTTACAAATAATTACTATAAAAAACATACAAACAAACATACTTAAACTCAATCATTATAATAGATTATCAAATTGATAATTAGAATATAACTAAAGTTAATCTAGAGTAAATATTTATACGTAGGGAGATATTGTTTTGAATAGTACGAAGTAATTATAAGTTAATATATGTTTAAAAAAATTAGCTTAAAAACATTACATATATATTGTAAACGTAACTGTTTAAATCCGAAACCTCTAAAAAAGTAATATTTTATTTTACTATTAAAATTATTTAACGAAATTCACATTAATAGAAACCTTTAAATTGCATTAAAATGTAGAGTGACCTAACATACAATTTTATACACGGTGGGATTCAACACATGAAATTTTGTTTTTTTATGACTTCAACCTCATTATTAATTTGAAAACATCTTTAATTATAAAAATAAAAATTTACATGAAAGCAATATTTGAATTATTTTTTATTTATTAGATATAAAATTACATATTTATTTTTTAATTAATTTCTCTTACTTTTAAAAAATAATATTGGAGATAAATTAACTCAACAAAACTTTTGATTTATTATTAGCAAATAAAATAATCTATCCAAATTTTTAATGAAATTACAGTTTTTACTTATGAATATGGTAATATCAATATCCTGCTTCGTTTTGCAGGTTGCTTTGAAACTTGAGCATCGAAATGGTAAGGGATGCAGTTCTGGTCCTCCTTATGAGTGGCAAGTGTACAGGTATGCCAGAATTAATTCTTTCAGTCATTTGAACTTCCAAATTTTTAAGACCTAATTTGTTTTTCTGTCTCAAACATCATTCAGCAATCTTAATGGTTGTTATGGACTTCCTTTGGTTCATTACGAAGGTCAACTGGGAGGCTACTACATCCTTGTCAGTTTCTTCTGTAAAGAATTTTAAATCCACTGATGTATTTTGGAAAACGAAAAAACTTGAAGGTCCTTATTGATGTTTCTGTGAATTTTGTGAATCTAGATCATGGATATGCTAGGTCCAAGCTTATGGGTTGCTTGAGTTGTTTGGAACTCAGACAACCAGATGTAAGAAATTATTCTTATCTTTCTCCTCTTTGGGATTTTCCTCGGTTTCCCTAGAATTCTATGTTTTGAATTTTTTAACTAAAACTTTGTTGCTGATATATTTTGTTTTGGTTTTTGGTATAGGCTGACAGAAGAGATGGTCGCTTGTATAGCAGTGGAGGCAATATCAATTCTTGAGCAGCTTCATCAGAAAGGGCACTTTAAAATTGCTGCATTTCCGTTTCCCCCTCACTTCTTTTACTCTCTGTTGTATTTCAAATTTCTTTTATCTGCTTCAGTTTTGTACATGGAGATATTAAGCCTGAGAACTTTTTGCTTGGTCAGCCTGGGACCATAAATGAGAAGAAGTTGTATCTAATTGATCTCGGGTTGGGTATAACTGCTTTCCCTTTACGTATTAGAGATGCTTTGCTATTTTATTTTATTTTGGAATGGACTAAAATTGTTGGTTCTTTTCAGCTTCAAGATGGAAGGAAACAGGTTCTGGACGCCATGTTGATTATAACCAAAGACCTGATGTGTTTAGGTAATGGGCTCCAAGTGCTGAGGCTGCGTATGTTATGTTATGAACTTGAACATTTGCTTGAGAATCTATTTATTTATAGTTTTTAAAGTGATATATGATTATTGACTTGCTGCCTACTTGCTTTTTCTTACTTCAGAGTTCAGACTGAAGAAGGAAAGATTTTGAACGTTTAGTTTGCCATGTTAAAATATTTATTATTTTGTTCAATTTAGGGGAACCGTACGCTATGCGAGTGTGCACGCTCATTTGGGTAGGACTGGTAGTCGAAGGGATGACCTTGAGTCATTGGCTTACACACTAATATGTCTACTTGAGGAAAACTTCCTTGGCAAGGCTACATTGTAAGTTTATTCAACTCTTTCACTTTGTATTTCCAATGAGAATAGCTTAATTACTGTCTCCTGTCATTAATGTGTTGTGCTTTGTTTTGTCATGGAACTGCAGGGCAAGAACAAAGGATTTCTTGCTTGTAAGAAAAAGATGGCAGCTTCTTCGGAGATGCTTTGTTACTTGTGCCCTCCACCTTTTCAACATTTCTTGAGATTGCGACAAATATGAAATTTGATGAAGAGCCAAATTACTCGAAACTCATTTCCCTTTTCCATAATAGCATAGATTTCAGTTCACCAATACACCCTATCCTAATTGATGGTGCTATTA